CACGCTGCTGACCTCAATTACAACCACATATTTGGGCCTGTGAGCAGGCCATGCACAACTCAGTGGAACTGCTATAAACATTTGTTTTTACGTCACATTAATTTATATTTTTCCCCCGTTGCTTACTTTCCTAATTTGACTTGAACATCTAAATTACAGATTAAAGTGGTAGCTTGTGGTTTTATTCATATTTAAAGTCTGTTTTATGTGTTTTTATTTGAATTTGAAATATCAATGCAGTTGAACTACTTTGTGACTGCTTTTAATTTAAGCTTTCGGAGTTCCTTCCCCTTCACACCCCCCTTCACCACAAACTGCCTATGGGTTTTGCTTCGTGTAACGGTTTTGAAATACGATTGCCATGGGAAAGCTCACCACAAAGTTATAGATATGATTCAGCCTGTTGGTAAGGTCTGAAGATGCACCAAACGTTGCTCTCACCTTCACAATTGAGGCATTGTGTGGTTTATCGAGTCCGATAATCTGTGAAACCAAGTTCGGAGGCCTCAGTAGGCCTGGCGGGTTGGTGCTGGTGACGGCGGAAGCGGCCGGGGCCACATATTTTTGAGAAAAAAAAAGCCACTAATTAGTACAATTATCTAGTGGATGATAGTCACTCGTGCAAGGGCCAATCAGGCAGTCTGTGGGGTCTGACAGCAAGGTTTCTAGGTTCTCATTTATGTGTTTGCGCTTTTATTTCATGACACCAAAAAGTACTCGACCTGCATTTGAAGTAGCTGTGTTCTTGTTTTCAAAGATTCTCTCCAAGCCACTTTACTTGAGGTTCTGTTTGATGAGGCTTAGAGTGATAGGATAGTGCACATCAGATAGCTATATCAAAGGGAAGGCCTGGCGCTCGGCATCTTGTTTGTGTGTACAGTGGTAGGTTTTGCTGCTCCACATCCCTTCTTTTCTGGAATCAGAGGAGACCAACAGGAACCGCCTCATTATCGGATAGGGCATCCAATAGCCGTGCAGTCGCTTGCTAATATGAAACCGTGACCTTACACGTCCCCATGGTTTTGCCTTTTTTTTTAGCTTCCACGGTTGGTGACAGACCAAGCTGATTCTTATCTTTCTGTGAAGATCACATGGAAGCACCCACAACACATTTTTTTCGTAGCTTTTACAGTACGTATTCTGTTTGATAACTGTATGATATTCTGATGGATTTGCCAGAAATGCAATGCTTATTCAGCTATACTTCATATATGTAGAGTAGGTATTTGTTAGTTTTCATGTTCAGATGCTGTTAAGTGTTTTGTCTGATTTTATGTGTCAGTTTGTTGGATGTTTGAAAATGATGGAAGCAGACAGCAGCTCTCGCCCACGTTTGTGTAGGCAAGCACTGCCCTATTAACTGCAAGTTAGGGCCAGGTTCTGAAGAGGATGATAACTGAGAGATCTTAAGCACAGAGGCTGCTGGAGATAAGGCTATCAGCTTGAGTACGTTGATATGTTTTGGATGGTTAATTATGATTTGCAGTTAGCGCTGATAAGAGGTAACTGATCTCTTATATCGCCTCAGTAAAACACTGCAATAATGACAATCTAAACTTATTTTTCTGCCAATTAGCTGGCAAGAACTACTTAACTAAAGGGCCGATAAAAATCAGCTGGAGGGCTGTTAATTGACTAGCTGTCATGTAGACTTTCCGTAATGAGCAGTTTATTGGGAAACCGAAATGACATGTTAGCGAATGATAGCCCCAACAGCATTCTCACTCACTGAACAAATGCTGTGCGTGATGTCGCAGGGCCAGTGGTTGATGGAGTTGTGGGTTCACTGCGTGACTAGGCCTTTTCTGGCAAACGTGTCTTATTGCATCATCTCACTTTTTTGCCTGCATCGAGTAATGAGTTACTATGAGTTTCCTTATGTTACAGCAATTGGGACATTTTTGGTGTCGAAATTTGTTTTGAAATTCGATTTGTAAAAAGGGTTTTCTGCAGCGCCATTTTGTTTTTTGGCCACTAGATGGCGACATATGGTCACACAGCGACCTCGTGGGTTACAGTTTAACAGTGTATACTGCCCCCTTGTGTGCAGTTGTAATTTAGAAAATATTTCACTCAAATTGTGCTGTATGCAATGAAGAAATTTGTGTAAAAATAACTTTCAGATAAAATATCTGGATTTATTTATGGAAAATTATGTTAAACTTTTTGTGTGAATTCTTGTTTGCACATCTGTGTTCTGCATTGGATAAAGTTTCGGATATTAAACTTAAAACATACATGCATTCTTACAAACAAATCATAAATTATACTGTTAGAAATTAATCTATACTTTAAGTGTTATCCCTTTTCCGCCTACCTAGGCGCTGAGAAGCATTTTTGTTATCAGCCAGCAGGGGGAGTCAAAGTCAATGTTTAAGACTCTAATAGGCTGCCCCCACGGCTTGAATCGGCACCCCGAGGTCACGGTTTCACAGCAGGATGTGGTCATGTTTGTAGCAGTTTATAAGGGGTGAGTTAATATGTCAGTTGATGGTGTAGTCATTTTATATTTGGTTATTAATGTTTGAAGCCAAAAATTGTTTGTATTGAGTAATACAGCTCTACATTCTGTTACTCCTGTATTAAATGGCATGTTTTTCAACTTAGGAGTTTCATATTAAGTAATTTCACATGTTCCTCCTGGAGCATGAAAGAGCTGTTAAACAAAGTGTTGAACTATGCAGGGGGAAAAAGATTAGCCTTTTCTGCCCTGAGATCATTTTTAAACATATAGTCAAAATGCAGAACAGTTCACAAGGTTCGTATGTGTTTTTTCACCCACAGTCATAAAAGAACATCTCAGTTCCTATCTCTTATGCTTAATCTTTGGGATGTGATGGTTCTTTCCCCTTAAAAACTGACTCTGTGGGGTCATCAAAACACTGTACCATAAAAGCAATTCTGCCAAGGGCAGAATTTAATGCTAAGGTTGAAAAATCCCTTTGCCGGCTGAGGCCTGTTAGGCTTCCTTTTTAAACTGCTAAACCTTTTTTTGGCTTATTAAACATTTCTTCTAGAGTATTCTTTTGGCAAACCAGCATCTGCCCTGTGGTAGTGAACACATTTCTTCTGGGGTTAGTTTTTTTGACATAAGGCAGACTAAACTTGTCACACATTCACTGAGCATTTGGCTCATTTTCTTTGCTTGAGGATTTCCTCTTAATTTCAGGTAATTGAGTCTTTAGCATTATTATGCTTACAGGAAAAAAAAAATAATAATTGGAGATGTGTTTTGAATAGTCTGCAAGAAAAATATCAGTAAGCGATTTAAATCGGTAAAGAAGGTAGAGCTATATGTAATCTTATATGATGCTCAGGTCTCAGTTTTCTTCGTTCCATAAAATTACATCCCCTGGAGGAGGTGAATTAAGATCTACATTCCATCTTTCCTACGTTCAAACGACAGTGCTTGTCTGCGTTTTTGTCTGGGGATCTTGAAATGAGGCCAGTTCTGCGGAGGGGACCGCGAATGGTACCCTGGGGTCATCCTGCGTCATTAATAAAACGGCTCCCTTTCTGAAGTAAGCTATGGCGCAGGGAGCAGAGCCGGTTCACTGCAAGCTGGAAGCGCTCAGGGCAGCGAAAGAGAGCCCAGTTTTTTTCCCTTTTACCTGTTTAGATGTGCTCTCATCTTTCTGGTGTGGTCGGCCGTTCCAAGCCCTCATTTAGCGAAATCCCTGAAGACAAGATGTACCAGATGCCATCACGGTTGTCTGGAATGCGCTAATTACCTGTGGTTCCACGTACGTGCGTATTTGTTCGGGGGTAAGTGCGCTGTACCGGGGTAAAAGGTGAAGTTTTAGTGCTTTTGGGTGTGTTTTTTTTTGCCCTGGAGAGAGTGGACTGGGTGGGTGGTTTTGTTAGGGTGGATTCAGAGGCCCAGTGATGAGTCACATCCCACAGAGAAATGGCGCAGTGATGGCTGGGCCGGGTCATCGGGGCGGGGGGGGGACCCTCACTGGCCCCTTCCCTGACTCCCCTGAATCTGTGACCATCCTGGTTATCACCCTCCGCTTTTACTGTTTGGTAACTGCAGATCCTGCTGATGTGTCAAATGAGCATGACCTGAACTTCCAGGCAGGACATACACAGACACATCTCTGGCCTTTATTTTCATTATAACTTCCTGTTCCTTATTTAGTACAAAATTATGATGTTGTCGCACTTCCCGCCTTTTTGCTTTCTTGTGTTTATTACGGCGGATTGACCCCCTTGCACTTCTCTGCAGGTTGTATCCTGACTGTCTGCCTTGCATGTGACAAATAAGTTTTGAATCCTTCAAGGGGCCCTGATCCTGACCTGTGCTTAGGAGTATTTTAATATGCCACCCAGTTTTCATCCATCCATCTTCTCAAACCACTTATCCTATTCTGGATGGGGTGCCAACCCGTCACAGGGCACAAGGCAGGGAACAACCCAGGATGGGGCACCAACCCATCACAGGGCACAAGGCAGGGAACAGCCCAGGATGGGGCGCCAACCTGTCACACATAATAGGCAATTCGGTAACTCCATTTAGCCTCAGTATGTTTTTGGACTGTGGGGGGAAACTGGAGTACCCGGCGGAAACCCCACGACGATATTGGGAGAACATGGAACCTCTGTGAAGACTCGAACCCAGATCTCAGAGGTGTGAGGTGACGGTGCTAACCACTGCACCCCCCCTCCAGTTTTACATACCCAGTTTTCAGTACAGTTCAATACGTTTCTCTCGAAGAGCATGTTGTAATTTCCCGGAAACTAAGGCCAAGCTTCATTCTCTTACATTGCTTGAGACTAGCAGCTTAATTTTGTAAAAACATTCTATGATGTGACAGTGCGTCCGGGAGTGTCCTGTCCTTGGCCTGTGGCGTGACTCGTCACACGTATTTATCATCACACTGCTGTCAGCTGAAAATACGCCTCGTCGTAAAACCAGGAAGGGTTTTAATTCGAAAGCATGAACGCAGATGGTAAGGAGCTTTTCCCAGCGGATAATGTTTCTCTCTCTTGTCTTTTAGATCTGTGTACGATGACCAGCCTAATGCACACAAGAGGTTTATGGAGAAACTCGATGCCCGCATACGGAACCACGACCGAGAGATCGAGAAAATGTGCAACTTCCACCACCAGGGCTTTGTCGACGCCATCACAGAGCTGCTCAAGGTCAGGGCGGATGCTGAGAAGCTGATGGTAAGGCTTACGCGATTGGCCGAGGGGCATGGTTGGCGGGGCGAGAGAGGGGCGTGTCCAACCCGTACGAGATTCATTCACCTGATTATACACAGTATTGTCATTGAGTAAAAGAGCTTTTGTGGCAGCTGTTGTGGTTGTGATGGGTAACTCTCAGTATGTTTGTTGGATGGTTCCGGCTCGCACTGGGTGTCTGCGGATTCGCTGGAGCTGGTTGACTCCCGGTTATGGGAGTAGGTGGCAAAGAGCAGCAAGGGATTTAGTATGGCAGCATAGACAGAGCACGGCATGCCCACCCCCCCACCGCCCCACCAAAAGCTCCGCATACCTTTCATTCTTGGGGAGTATACATTATTCCTCTGTCCTCAGGCCAGCCTCTTAATTCCCACCCCCCAGCTTAAAGCCCAGTGCGAAGAATCCCCTCTGCAGAAGGCCTGTCATGTTCTTCCGGCTGCTGGGCCCCCCGTTGGGTCCCACCCCCCACCCCCGTGACCCCAGCTCCTGCTGAAACCTTCTGTCCATTAGCATTTATATTACAGGGCCTTGCGGACGGGGGCCCGCGCTGCGAGGCCGTTCTGCAAAAGCAGCTCGACCCGGGCCGTTCCTGGGGCCACTGGACATTTCGGTCCCGTTCTTTTAAAACATCTTTTGGCCACTGTAATTTCTCTTTCCTGTTTCAAATTGCAGTCTGGGGTTTTTTTTGTAAGCATTGTGGAAATAAACAGCAACAAAAAAAAACCTGTTTCTCTCGCCAGCCATGAATATATGATTAAAAAGGGACTTTGAACTTAATTAGGGGAGTTTGCACCCCCTCGCCAGTCCTCTTTAGCTCCCTTTACACTCCCAAGAGTGAGATACTCACCCTAAACTGTGCCGGGGTCTAGTTCACCCGGGGTTGTAATTAGACAGGGATTACATAAAGGATATTCAGATAACAAGGGAGCACATTCGGCGTCACTGAGGTCGCCGGGTATCTTTTGTCTGGAAATGAATGAGATTTTTAATAAACTCGAAATGCGCTTCCTTATTGCGATGACCTAATGAGTCACTCAGTATGTGGGGAAAGTCTGAGGTCACTCTGCCCCCCGCACCTGCAGCCCCAAGATGGCAGAGGCCGTCGCATTCGCCCGTTAATCAGCCACCCGGCGCTCATATTCAGCCAGAGAGAATGTTTAATTACCAGGAATTGCTGCCGGCGTTCCGTGCCACACAAAGGGAGGCATATAGAGCCCATTGAGGTTATCAGGAAAGGGCCAGTGGTCAATTGGGTCGTCGATTTGAATTGTTTGACAGAGCCGGAGGGACGGGCAAAGGTTCAAAAATCCCGCACGGATTTGAGAAGTTTGTCACAGAATCTGTTGGAGAGAGCTGTCAGAAGCGATTACGGTGCATGAGAGACCCCCACGCTGGAAAAGTTCAAGTTCCCGCTTCAGATTTAATTTGAATTTGCGTCTTTCTGTGCGTCTTTCTGTGCCTCATGAGCCATGATCTGATGACAGGGGTGAGCAGTCACAACACGGCACTCTGCGCTCATTAACCAACGTGACGTTTTTTTTTCCCTTTTTTTCAGGGCCAAGTGACCGACACCAATCGCCGACTCCAAGATGCCGGAAAAGAGGTAAGAAATGAAACTTTTTTTCCCCTCGTTTACCCTCTGGTACAGATCTTGACGGGAGCAGCGCCAGCGTGGGCCCGCTAATTGCAAGGGTTTGAACTTTGACCCCTCTGCTTCCATTCTCCTCGTGTCAGGTGACGTCCCAAACGGAGGAGGTCATCCGCTGCAGGGTTCAGCAGAGGAACATGGTCACCACCGTGGAGAAGCTGCAGCTGTGCATGCCCGGTGAGGAAGCTGCGGCCCCCTCGGGCACAAACCCCCCCCCCCCCCCCAGTGTAACTGCTGGGTCATTGCTGTTAATGTAACCTGGACTGACCGATGTTTTCATCTTCTCAGTTTTCATCTTTTGCCATAATCAGTTACCGTTAATTTCCCGATGTAAATTTCTGATAAGCCTGTTAGCATAACGTAAAGCTTAGCGTAACTTAAAGGGTATTTTAGCGACATGTAAGCAGTAAGAAATAGGAAAGCATGCAGTTCTTATATAGGTGGTAAATGTATACGTGAGAGCTTGTCTCGGTGCCGCAGAGTAATTTCTATATTCTGTTGATTTGGACTGAAGCTATGGGGATACCATTGTTTAACCAAGACATCTACAATCCTGGTAGACGTAGTAAAACCTCCCAAACGTGTCGATGCAGAGTAGATGATCAGGAATGCATACAGTGGTGGATAAGGTCAGAGGGTAGAATCTTTCAGTATGGTAAGCGCATCACATCGCTTCAGGGCACGTGTGTTAATTTCATTTGGATACGTAGGAGGTCTTCTGCTGAGCGGAATGAATCATTTCAGTGTGAAGTTCCTTCAAGTTTTGTTTATCCACATTTACCACAAGGGAAAGTCTTATATTCTGTAGGAAATGATTAGTAAATGGGTGTTATTAAGCAATCATTTTGGAGGCAAAGGAAAACACGTTTTCTGATGTCTGTCAGGCACGATCCTTGGTTTTTTCAGATGAGGAAGTATTTTAAAATGTCAATAACCTTTGAACATCTGACCAGCAGTGAATTAAGTCATGTTATTCACTGTCTCCTTTTATTTGCAGTTCTTGAAATGTACAGTAAATTGAAGGAGCAGCTGGAGTCTAAAAGGTAAATTGCTGTATATAATTGTCAGTATTTTTTTTAGAAAGATCTTGGTTTATTTGCATATTGATGTTAATTTCTGTTGTTTTTACTAAACTTTTCCTGGCTTATAATAATTGTATACGGAATGCTCACTGTGATTTTGCACAGTGCAAACTGGTTGACCTAAAGTCATTCATAAAAAGATAGAAGTGAATAACTCCGTAGCTGTGAATAGCTGTGGAGGGTTGCTACCCCTATGAACTGTACACCGAAACTGAAAATAATGACCCTTCCTTGTCCATTAATGTCTCTTTAATCAATCATAACACATTATAAATGAGTCTACTATTCAAACGCGAGACAGTTGACCTTGTGTGTGCCCTTCTTCACAGCACGAGCGCACGCCAGAGACCTGTCACAGGCGTCACCCAAATTGAGGCAATCAGTGCAGTGCCCTTCTCCATTAATCTGTGTGTCTTTGCTGGCCTGCTCTGCGCTGCACGTTAATGACTGAGCTTGGACACGGTTTAATCAGGCCCAGATTGTGTCTCGAGTCACATAGAATGACCCCAACTAACTTCCCAGTGTTGAGCTGGTGTTCATAAATGTGCGATATATATGTTATACGGTCTATTTACTAAGAGAATCTCCTTTATTTCTATGCTTGGGTAGATCCTGCTGGCTCTGTTGGTTAAAGAGGATGCTGCTGTTTTTGTTTTTCAGACTTTCCTTTCATCCTCCACATTGTGTAACTGTGGTTGAGGTTTTATCATCTCTTTTTAATTTCGTGACACGTCCGCACATGTATCTCAGACGGTTTTAAGTGTCAGTTTTTGAAACAGTGCGCAGCTTTCTCTGCCCGTACAAGATACCTCGGAGCATCTGGAAGGAGTAGAACAGATGAAATATATATATCGCAGACAGAAATTCAGTTGTGTTTTTCATTATGGTCCCACCGTGAGAGGCAGTCAGTTCAGGAAGGAGGTCGATCGATAAAGAGGAGAGAATCTGGACCAGCTCGTAGAGGCCTCTGTCCTCCCCTGTGCCCAGTGTGGCGATCGCCTGTGCTGGGCTCTCAGATGGCAGGGATGATGTTCATTTGTACTCTAGGGAACCTCTTAATGTATCTCGGTACCTGTTAGATTGTATTATATTTAAGATAAACGTTATTAATCCCACAAAGGGAAATTTCAGCGCTACAGCAGTAAGTTATAAACAGAATCAGACAATACACACAACATAACAGCACAATGATGAAGGGAGATATACGTATATATTATGTATATATTTATATGTGTGTGTGTGTGTGTGTGTGTGTGTGTGTGTGTGTGTGTGTGCGTGCGTGTAAACAATGTACTGTATACAAACAAACACACAGCAGCCAAAGTTTAACACCTGAGACTGACAGGTGCCGGAAGTTGGGCGGTTCAGTGTGAGGAGACGTGTCGCATAACAGTAGTAATAATAATAATAATTGTTATTAGTATTATTATTAGTAGTAGTGGTAATACTAATACTTATAATAATGGTAGTACTGCTAATAATACTATGCAGAGAGGCTGAGCCTGCCTTGTAATGTGTGAGTGTCCACTGAGAGCAGTGCTGACTGATATCGTATAGTCTGACTGCTGCAGGGACAGTTAAAGTCAGTATTTGAGTTTTATGTTGGAATGCTCAGAGAAGCCGGTGTTTCTCCCCTTGCAGTTCTACAATGACTCCTTATTGAACCGGAAAAAAAAAAATTTAGCATCAGGCTTAACATTCCCAGGAAACTCATGCATTTAGTCAATATTTGAAATTTGAAAATAATGCTTTAACTGGAATCGGAACCCCTGTTTTCTTTTAGTCTCGCATCTAATCATTAAATCCACTGACACCTTGTGCAGATCCTTATGTAATTCCTATATCCTAACGGTCACCTGAACTCCTGTTCCCAGAACAATCCCGTTTCTAACCCCTTGGGTTTCAAATGCCAATGGTTATTCTTATGAGTTTTCAATAATGATGTTTTTTTTAATTATCCCATTGTGTCAGATTTCGAAATAAAAGAATACATATTGGATGTGGCATGTCGTACAAAGTTTCTGCAGTTTAAATCCTGACCTCTGAGTGACTTTCACAATCAAAGGCTTGAATCTGTTACTGAAATAGATGTTTGTAGGGCAAGACCTTGTGCTCCGGATAGCTAATAATTAGGAGGTTTCCGTTGAATGGATCTGAGCTGGATTATCGTAATTCTGAGACCAGCAAAAGCTGTCGCCTCGTTCAGTCAGGCCAGCTGCAGTGATAAGCTCATTGCGGTGATTTGAATGAGACCTTTCATATCAGTGCGGTGCCGTTACGGATTTAGGCTGCGTCTCGGATTTACGTAGCGATGCACTTTGCTAAGCGATAAGGCCGCAATCTGCCTGTGCAGCCATGCAGCGCGTTTATTCCTGGAGCACGGCGACGGCGGTGGCGGCAAGCTGCAATCTACCGCGTTTGTCTTCAGGAGGATGAAAAGGGCTTTCATTAGTGCTGGAATTGAATCCCCCTGCTTGTGAGGAGGAGATCAAGAGTGTTTCAGGGTTTACTGTTCCTTGGCTCGTTGGAGGAGGAACCGGCTGCCTTTAATTCGCAACCCAAGAGAAATCACTCGCAAGACGGTGTCTGAACGCAGCCCCAAGGACTGTCTGGGGAGGCGCCGGGGCCTTGTTGGATCGAGCCATAGGGACGGGCAGGCGTTTCCCTCACCGGAGCGAATCAGAGGATGTGGCCAGTGGGCTGAAGTCGTCTATATGTGTGTTCCTCAGCAGGATAGGGTTACGAGAGGAGTGCGGTTTTGCCGAGGTTTCATGAGGCTTCGGCCTAGTCCAAATATTGATGCATATCTTCCCAGATATTAGACCGTGATTAATTATGCTGCAACGCGACCTTCCTCTTCACTGCCTCTGCTCTTTTTTGTTTTCGTTTTTTGTCCTTTCCCCACACAGGTACTACGCTGCCCTAAAGACGATGGAGCAGCTTGAAAACATTTACATTCCGCGAGTTGGCCAGTACCGCTTCTGTCAAATCATGGCGGAGAACCTTCCCAAGCTCCGAGAGGAAATTAAGGAGATTTCCATGTCTGACCTGAAAGACTTCCTGGAGAGTATCAGGAAACACTCGGATAAGATTGGCGAGACGGCCATGAAACAGGTGAAAGTGGACTCTAATTTAAATCGAACCACCAAGAACCTGATTGAGCTCGAGTCCTCATCTGCTTAATTTTACAGGGATGTTATGGCTTCCAGCTCCCTCACCGAGATTGCAGGTCTCCTGAGAAGAGCTTATATTAAATACATTAATCTGCCATAAAACTTCTGACGCATTTGCTTCCAATAAAAAGTCTTTATTTTGAATAATTAATCAAGTGCTGCCTGGGGTGTTCGGGGCGGCTTTGGTGTGGGCTGGTGAATTTCCTTCTAATTTCTGGAAGATCCCCACTGGTTTTGTGGTCCAGTCCTCCTATGAAGCATGACTAAGATCCTCTAAGTGAAGACCATTATAATTTATCCCACAGACATTTCAGCAGGTTGATATATAGACGGTTTCCGTGCTGTAGTTTTCCTGCATTTGCGGTGATGGAGTTCCTATTGGGGGACAGCATCGTGCCTCACTGTCTGCCCCCTGCCCTGCACTAGGCCCAGCAACACCGCACCTTCAACAGCGCCCTGCAGAAGCAGGCCAGCGCGTGCTTCGCCAAGCCGCTGTACGCACTTAACGGCAGGACGGTGATCCGGCCCGGCGTACCCGGCTCTGAGGAGCGGGCCGACGAAGAGGAGGACACAGATGAGGAGGTGCGCCGGCAATGGCCGCGTCGTCTCCAGACCATGTCACCAGTCAGCTTTGCATAGTTACAGACTGAGTAGATGAGATCCGGGGTCGTCAGATTGAATTTCCTCGCACATTCCTTACTGAAGTCGCCCTTAAAGCTGTGCACTTAATTTGTTTTCGTGAGTTTCTACTCCGGTTGAACTGATGCCCTTTTACGTTCGCAGGTTTTAACAGCTCCCGACCTAGTGGATTTCTCACCCGTTTACCGCTGTCTTCACATCTACTCTGTCTTGGTAAGTTTTGTTTTGTTTTGTTTTTTTTTTATAAATCTGAAACACAGTAAAATTCAGCCTTCCTTCTGTCCTGGTGATTGTAATTATAAGCATAAGCTTATAATTGACCATGAAACCTTTTCATGTTTTTCAAGCATGGTCGCACAATGGGGTCTGTTGAATTTTGCGAGCTGGCTTTTGACGTTTTTCACTGTGAATGAACTTTCACACAAAGGCATGCTTGTCTTGGCTTGAGGTGCAGCAGCAGTTTGAAATTCTCTGTGAAATATTTGCTTGAAATGGGATATAGTGTACGGGGAAGTGTAACAGAGAGTCATTTCCATTAAATACAGCCTCCAACCACTCGTACATACCGTTTTTGTTTTTGCTCTAATCTTTATTTGTTAGTCTTGGATAATAAGGCCGCAGAAATGTCACGATCTATAACTCCTGCAGAGTATCAATATGTGATTGCGATGTGTGTTACAAAGGACACTATTTTAACAGTGGAAAATGCAGACGGTCAAGTTGAGGCAAATGACACTGGACGCAGAGACCTGTAAGATGACACTTAGCTTTCCCCGTATATGTGCTTGAACCTGGTGTGCCGGTTACCTTTCAGCTCATACTTCTGTTCTGTGGGCCCCTGACCCTCCCAGGATTAGCCGAAACTTAGCTCGATTGGCCTTTGTGTGGCTGATGTGGCTCTGATGCCCCTTGACCTCAAAGAAACAAATCCTGAAGGATAAACGTGCCGGCAGCTCATAGCCATGCACAGGGATGGGCAAAGATGCATGAAAATGTATTTTGATACAAAATACAAAGTACTCTATTTGTAAGTGTATCAAAACAAATTACAAAATACAACCACCAAGCAAAGTATCAAAATAAATTACAATATTTTGTATTTTAGAAATACATTTCACATACTCCTATTCTATATCAGCCTGTTCCTTCACAAGCGTACTGACTGAAATGGCTTAGCATAGGGGCAACATTTTTTCGCTGCTTAACGAGAGACAATACAAGTGTGAAACCAAACAAAAGATCAAATATTCTGAAGTGTCTTAAATATATCTCAACTATGTGACACTCAGATAATGGCAAGTCAATCTAATGATATAATAATAATAACAGATTCAGAGATTTATTTTTAATTGACAAAACTGCTTCCTTTTGCATCACAGATGCAAATCTCTCAACATAAAATTTTAAATGAAAAATGACAGATACAGTTTAAGCATTTCAATGAAAAACATCTTAACAACTTTAAGCTTTTGGTTCAACACAAGTGATCAACTATTGGCTCCAATGAACTTTCATTAAAATGTCTAGAAAAAACTAGACTTCGTCCTTGTTTATGCAAAAAAAAAAAAGTTTTGCACACATGATGTCATCACACATACATTATGGGGAAAGTATATCTTGTATTTTCAAAATACAAAAACACTGAGCATTAAAGTATTTTGATGCAAATTACATAATTTTTATGAAGTCAAATACAAATTACAAAATTTCAATCTTATTTGAAATATGCATTTAAAATACATGCATCAGATTTAATGTCCATACTTGGCTATGCATGTGCAGCGTTAGATTTAGTCCTGTGCACCAAAAAGATAATGATCACTCATATCTGATTCACCCATGTAACAATGTATCTTACCTTGTAAGCCAAAAGGACGTTTGGAAATCTGGCTGTTACATTGTGCAGTACATGCTGGCAATGAAATGAGCTCCCAATATTAAAGTAATGTTAAGAATAATCAAAAGAGGAATAAAACATAAAAAGTGATGCTTTATATTAACTGCACCTTTATAATGCATTCATCAGCATTCACAGAACATTCTTAAGCAACATTGAAGTGCTGACATTGACACCCTAAAATACTATTATTTATCATACAGTGTTTGTTATTAATGCATATTAAAGCTGTTAAAGTATGTTAGGATGTTAAGGTGTACTTACATGCTGCTAATGAATGTTCTATGAATGCATTTTAAAGGTGCATTGAATGTTCTACGGATGCATCATGAAGGCATTATGAAAGTCAATATTAATGTTAAGTGTTACCAAGTAAAATTGTAAAACAGAATAAAATAAGAAATAAAAGTAAAACGAAATCTGTACTACAAATCTTGCAGGACTCTTGCAGGATTCAAGATCTGATTTAAAATGTAAACTCTTTGTTGCCCGTCTTGCAGAGTACGACTGTGATGGAGATCATGGTAGAAATCATAATATCTGTACTCTCACAATAATTGCCTGTTTATGTATTTAACATCTGTCAGATATCTTTGTGCTATATTAGTGCAGTTTATTCTTGGCCTGAATTTGTTTACTCTGGTAGTTTATCTGCTTGATCTTACTGTAAAAGATTTGTATTATCACTTCGCTCCAGCTAATTGTGATGGCTATCAAAGCAAACTATTCTCTTGCACCCATTTAGGTATTTTGAAGACTTGCGGGAAGCAAGCGTGCTTTTGCTTATTCTGGCAGTAGAATACCGTGTTCGTGTTATTGACACGGCGCTCAAGTTAATGTCCTCCGTCTCAGTCTTGCCAACCGGTGTCGTCATCTGGCTGTTTTGGGAGTGAACTCTGCAGTCCCAAACTGTCCGCCGCCGTGTCCCCTACGGCACCCGTTCCCGCCTCGCGATTTTTGGCAAGTGGGCAGAAAAATGACATGATGAGTAGACATTTTTAGAGCACTTCAGGTGAGTGTTAAAGAGGCCAGTGTTTACATTCTCCACATGCATGTCACGCACATGCCCACACGGGCGCGCCCGATTGGTGGAGTCCTTTGCCTTTGCGTTGCGCTCCATGGAATCGGAGTAGCGGTAAGTAACATAAAGCCTTGAAGTTAATGTAGTATGGTTGCATGGTGTTAATGTACCAATGAATGACACAAAGATAATTATCGCCATAACTATGATGAGCAGCTATGCAGATGTGGTGTGAGGCTCAGTGGGTTAGACCTCTGTGCCTGTGAGTAGAAGGTCGCTGGTTTGAATCCCACCCTCAGAGGAATAGTCACATCTGTGGTCAGACCCCAGGTTTCATTCTGTGTGTGTGTGTGTGTGTGTGTGTGTGTGTGTGTGTGTGTGTGTGTGTGTGTGTCAAAGGACAGCCAGATGGTGAATGTGAGAAGAAGCATTCCAATGTACCGATATTTTTGCAAATGGCAAATAAAACATTATTTCATGTCAGTGATACAGTAATTTGTCCTATAAGAAGTAATTTCAGCCTGACTTAGTTCCTGTTCTACCTGCAGCCTAGCATTTGGTATTTATGCTCTTCACTATGGGGCCCTGTCACGGGGTTAGCTGTTGCGAAATCGCCTGATCAGGCTCGGAGGGTGTGTACCTCCTCTAAGTTTACATATGGTAATTTACTAAAAACGTGATCTGTTTCTCTGCATAGTTCATATAAGGTCATTGGGTTATATAAGTCTGGCATATTCGTTGCTTCTAAAGGCATTTCAATTATTATTATTACTTTGCGTTCCTGTAAATGAAAACATTTGCGTGTGAGGTGTGTTCTGAATCCAAAGTGCCAGGTTTGAGTTGCGTTTTGAAAGGCTCGTGAGCGATTTAGCCCGTAAAACGTTTGACCAGGCTGTAACCTCTGTAAAAGCCGAGCGTTTAGAAAAACACCAGCCTGACGCATTAATCTCGCTCACAAATTGCGGCATGTTTGCTGGGTGGGGTCGATGAACCATTCTCCCCAAATGACTGCGCTGGCATGTCTGCCGCAGCCGATCCCCATAGACAGACTCTGCTCTGGCGCCCCCCCTGCGACCCCTGCGGGTGAACCCCGCGTCCTCCAGGCACTAGCCTGAACCGTCGTCCCTCAGCAACGTGCCTGTCACAGTCCTTGCCTGTGCTTGTCTTCTACAGATTTCTATGACAGGCTACATCTGCGGTTTGAAATGCTCTCTGAGGCTGACCAGCTTTGGTCCCCCCCTGCTGAGGGACATACCAATCCCATAAGTGTCAGTCAGGCTGGGCCAGGCTGGCTCATTTGCAACTCAGATGGGGGGGGTGGCGCTGTAGACCTCGGTGGCTGTTTCAAGAGCTTCGACTCAACACGACATGGTTTCAGTATGGGGCTTCTCCTTCTCACTCCTTCACTTTTAGGTGCTGCTGTTTTTCTTTGGTGATCAGTGGAGCACGATGCGAGTTTAATTAGAAGAGTTGAGGGTTTTTGTTTCAAATAATAGGTTGCTGTTGCCTCAGAGTCGTGTTATTCTTGGATCCGGCTGCGATTCCTTCTGGTTGAACTTCTGTCACCGCATATCGGCATTTTGAGAGAGGTGAAAAATCCCACTAAGATCATCCCTTCCCCAATTCTTACTGTATCACCTTGTTTAGTTGGTATCTAAAGGTTACTGCTTCTTTTGAAGATCAATCTGAGACTGCTGTAAACATACTGAAAGTTTCCTGAAAGTCTTTGGCCATTTTCCCCGCAAAGTGTGAGGCTTCCACCTATCAGGCATATTTGACTGTTGCCAGGTTCTGTCCCTCTTGTCCAAGAATTGAACTTGTCCTCTCGCATTCTTGCTCGAACCCGTTGAAATTCCCCTGCACGTCAGGCGGCCTCGTTCCAAGTCAAACAAACCCACAGACCTTTTCACCTCCAGGCTTTTTGAATGCAGATCTGCTCAGTTATGAAACAAGCCAGAGGTGATTTCACTCCGTTTTGAGTCGGTCGTGGTGGATTTCACGAAACGTTTGCCGGTTCTTAGATCATTCGAAAGAATTCGCAAAACTCACAACGAGAAATTCACACACACACATAGATTCCTACCTTTTGTGTTATTAAAATAGGGCCAGGAGAGCAGGTTTATCTGTCATTCACTTGATTATTGTCTGTTTACGGTTTTGCAACATTTCAATATTGCAATATGTTCTGTCTCTTTGGGCGTTATAGGGTGACAGAGAAACATTTGAAAACTACTACAGGAAACAAAGGAAGAAACAGGCTAGACTGGTGCTTCAGCCACAGTCCAACATGGTGAGTGAAGAGGCGGGGAGACCCTGTGTTGCCCATCCATAGGGCCTGCAGAGCTTTCCGGTAACCCTGCGTCTCGTGTGTCCTGCAGCACGAGACCGTGGAAGGCTACACCAAGTACTTCAATCAGATCGTTGGGTAATGTGCCTCATCTCATCATTTATCTGCCAACATCTGCTGGTTAACATCGGCATTTCGCAGCCATTTAGATGATGAGGCGCCACATTCTGCGCTGGTCTCGTATTTGTCCGACCCAGAGTAACTGACAGCATATAGGTTTTCAGTCCCGATCCCTCGGTCTGACCTCCGCAGGTTTTTCGTGGTGGAGGATCACATCCTGCACGCCACGCAGGGGCTGGTGAGCCGAGCTTTCACGGACGAGCTGTGGAACATGGCCCTGTCCAAGATCATCGCCGTGTTGCGCACCCACTCTGTGAGTCCGCCTCCCCCCCTCCCCACACACACTCACACACACACCTGGGGGAGAGGGGCCGTGCACAGGGTGGGGGCACGGAGGCGGCCGTTTCTCCCAGAGTGGGGTTTTTCATGCGAGCCCCGGAGAAGAACCACCTCCACAGCCGTGTCTTTTTGTGATGAAAAGTTAGTAGTGCGAGAGGGACAGTGAGCCCCTTTGTTTCCCCCAGGGGTCTCAGGCTGTGGGCCCCCGCTCTGGGCCATCCGCATAATCCCCTCCAATTTACAACTGACTGGATCTTCTAAACGCACCCTCAGTCCAGCACTTCAGAATATTCGCAGTTAATGTGCTGTTGTTGCTGCAGTCTGTCTTCATTAAGCCCGGCCGACCCCTGCATTAGATTGGGCTTGAGTCGCTCGGCTCCGGAAAGTTCCGCCAGAAGAGGTTCCGGCTCTGGATCCGTGTGTCGATGCGGCCGGGTCGTCGGGCGTACCTTTCATCGCCGTGAGCTCGGCCCTGAACGCCCGGGATATTGGGAAAAGTGCAGTCGAGGTCACGCAGACTCTGCACTCAGAATAATCTCAAGAAGTCCCGGACTTCACCCCGGGGTTGGGTGGGAGCGACAGAGCCTGCAGACAGGAAGCCGGGTGACGGAGCGGGTCAGCTTCCTGTCTGCGGGCCGACCTCGCAAAGCACAGCTCTCCCCTTTGTCCCGAATCCGCAAACGGCCGGCGGCCGCGTGATTTACACACCCCGACCTGCCGCCTGAGACACGGGTAGGAGGGCGGAGGGGCGGCAGCGGGCCGCTCCAGCAAGCACTCAGCCGCTGATTCAAACCAGGACCTCGGCCATAAATCAGCAGACGGGTAGCGAGGGGGTTTCCTGTTAGCGTTAAGTAGGTGGACAGTACTAATAAGGGGCGTGGCAGGCCAGGCTTAATTGGGTCATGTGGACCTGGTTAATCGGGTGGTGGGATAGGAGGTGTTTTCTTAAGATTTTTAATGGATGCTCTGGTAGCAACACCGTGCTTTGTAACCATATGCACTGGGAGCCCACCAGCGAGAACGGGGGCAGTGTTGGTTTGGTTAGACAGTCCCGGAGGGGGGTGTTTGTCCTTACCGCCGTGAGAGCCCCACCGTCCCCCCACTCAAAGCCGGCCTGTCGACGCTTTAAGGATTGGATAACTGAGGGTCGGCCCTCCTCCTCCTCCTCCTCCTCCTAACCCCCGAGCCAGGCCTCCCTCTGTAGCAGCCTAATTGTTGTTTTACAAGTGTGGGGTATTGGAAGGGTGGGGGCGGTGGTTGGTGAGGGAGAGGGGGAGGGAGCATCTCATTGGTTGGGCTGTATCTAGATGTATTTACAGCAGTGTTTCCCAATCCGGCCCTCGGGGACCCACAGACAGTCCACATTTTTGCTCCCTCCGAGCTCCCTGCCAGACAGTCCACATTTTTGCTACCTGCCAGTTCCCAGTAGGGAGCAAAAACATGGACTGTCTGTGGGTCCCCGAGGACCGGATTGGGAAACACTGATTTACCACACTTGGGATTCTCTCTTCTTGCTTGAATTCTGAGATCTCAGCTGTGCGCTTCTCTCTCATTCCAACAGTCCTACTGCAGTGACCCTGACCTGGTGTTGGAGCTGAAGAACCTCATAGTCATATTTGCAGACACTTTGCAGGTGAGCAAGGAGCGTTTAATGTACCATTTATGTTTTTTTTCTTATAAATGATCATGGTCTAATTGTTATATTTAGTGGTCCCATGACCACAGCCTTCAGATAGTTGTTCAGCACACGCCCACAGCTGACAGTCGGGGGGGCCCCTTGAGCGGTTCAGGCAGACCCAAGAGGCCAAGTCCTCACAGGCCCCAGTGGTGTTATGTGTCTGAACACACTTCTTGTTGTGGGCTGCCAGAATAGACCCCGGGGATCTGCTGAAAGACAGCATTTCAGCAGAATCCTGATACTCTGCTCTCTTCTTCTGTCCACCCCCCCCCCCCCCCCGACTCAGTGTAAAGGTCTTTGTAGGTTTCCTCCTTCCTCGGGGCTGGAGTCGGCATTAGAATCTGAACTTGCGACATCATAATTAATAGGGGTCCACCTTCCATGCGCTGAGTCGTCACCGGGAGGGTTTAAAAGCGGCTGTCCTTCTTATCCCTCAGTGGAGGCCAGCGTTTGTTCACAGCAGGCCTTATCTGCGGGCCGGCCTCTAAGAACCATGTGGCGGATTTGGAAGGGATAGCTTAGCTCCGTCGACCTGACCTGCTCCAGCAGCCTAGCTCTCAGACCTACTCCTTTGTTCCCGTCTGATTTTCTTTGTTGATTATAAACCCACTAATAAGTGAGGTGATTAAGGTGATTTATCTAGTGCATCCAAAGAGAGATTAAATATTAATCGCTGAACAGTGTTTAATACCGTTTTCATGTGGTTTCTCTCTAGGGCTATGGGTTTCCTGTGAACAGACTCTTCGATCTGCTGTTTGAAATAAGGGATCAGTACAATGAAACGTTGCTGAAGAAATGGACCTTGGTTTTCAGGTTACCCTGCCTCTGAGGCTATTACATCGCACCCTCTCTCCATCTCCAGGAACCATATTTCACAGCTCTTCCACTAAATACCGAAAGCTTGTCTCGTAGTCGATTTTCACTTTAGGCTCAAAGCTGGAATTGTAGTGAAAAGACACAGCAGGAGGTCTGGTCACTGGACAGGTGCATTATGGTCCAACACTGACCATCCCTGAAGTGTTCATCCTTTAGTCTGCAAACCAGTGTCTGGCCACTTTAAGTCAAGGCAAAAGTTAACTGCTGGAGAATGTTCCAGAGAGACACACTCGCCATGGTTGGAGCTGAGGCTTGTCAGACACTTATACATACAGTACTTCTGTAATTTTTTTTATGGCATCACATTTAGTAGCTTTTAACTTCTCAGGCCACTTTGGTTTTTCCCTCAGCAGTCGTAAACGTGCACCCCCCATTAGCAGTGGTTAAGTACAAGCTGCCCAGCTGTTGAGAAATTCTCGCTAATGTTTCTTTTTGACAGGGATATATTTGAGCAGGACAACTACAGCCCCATCCCAGTGGAAAATGAAGAAGAATACAAGTCTGTCGTCTGTAGGTTTCCGTTCCAAGATGCAGAGTTCGAAAAGGTTTGTCGAGCTTAGATTCAGCCTTTGCTGGATGCTGATGTCATTCTTTCGGCGTATAACCAAGAGTCCGCTCCGGCTTCGTAAAAGGCCAGCGGGCTGAACGGAGCTATATTCGTTATTCAGTTTTAGCCTATGAACAGAAATGATGTACAGTCAGCACCAAATATGAATGGGGTGTGTATCAGTTCTGGACTGTTCATTTTTTGGAGGACTTGTGTCACTTAAACGTAATTCGCGTCTCCCCCCCCCCCCCATCAGCAACCGTTTCCAAAGAAGCTTCCAATGTCCCAGTCAGTGCCTCAGATCTACACTCAGGTGAAGGAATTCATCTACGCCAGCCTTAAGTTCTCCGAGTCTCTCCATCGCAGGTAAACCTGCTTCTTATTTTTCGTGTAAATTCCGTCCTGTGCTCCTTATATTTAATTTGACCACTTTCCTATAACTGCCCTTAATACCTTTGATGTGGTTGAAGTATGTGTTGAACCCACTTCTCTACAGTGTTTTTCTGTTATGTTAAGGTGAATTTGTATAAAATAAGTCTTCAACTGAGCAGTGGCCTGCAGAGTCTTCGTGTTTGACTTTTGGAGTAAGACAAATCATCCATAGCGTGGTGTCAGGAAACACGTCCACATGACCTTGTCAGTCCAGCTGAGTCGCACGTATGTGGGGGCCCCCAGGTTGGTGGGGGCCCCCAGGTTGGTGGGGGCCCACTGCTGGGGTCCGTACTAACACTCTGTTGCTCCCGTCGGCATCTTTCACATCAGACCTGTTTTCCATCTGCGGACTTGACACTTTTGGTCAAGACACAGCTGTGAAAGTTGCAGGGATGGACTAACTTTTCCAGACAAGATCTGTTTGCAAACACGCCTGTCAGCTTTGGCCGAGTTCCCGAAGCAATAGAGTGTGAATGATTTCACTACTTTTGAAAGCTCCTTCCAAAATATATATTTTTTTTTGCTGCCATAATACACATTTCCTGCAGCGGGTCCTCGAGGATGGAGATCGAAGTTAACAGCACTCAGACAGCCTCAGCAAGCGTCGTCTCGCTGAGTGCAACATTGCCGGCAAATATGTTTGCAATAGAAGTACAGACTAATGGTCATAGTAACATTTTTAAGAAAAACAAAAATATTATGCTTGTAATAAATTTGTCTTAGGGCTGGTTCTATATTGAGCTGCAAGATTTTGGGACCTTAGTTTTGGTACTAAAAATTCAGTACTTTCCCCTTTTCACCAACTTCCACACCAGCTGGGGTACTTCTCAGTACTTCCGTACTTTGGGGCAGGACTTGCGAATGAGTTTATTGTCGTTTTGAAAATAACCTGCCTTGCAAACACAGAATTCATCTGCCATGCTGAAAAAAAATTACAAACCCAAAAGACAACAGTAACAAAAAAAAGCATTAAAAATAAATTAATCACAAAACCCGTCTGTGAATGATTTAAAGACTAAGGAAGAAAATGATTCTGATTGGCTCGGAGCGCGAATGCAGAGCTCGTGCAAAAGCAGAGACAGTACACATTAAACTGAATTTTTAAACATACACTAGATAATCTTGACAAGGAACAATCATTGAAATTACAAAACTTCCAATGACAGAAAAAAAAAAACGTTTTAGCAAAATTTAATCCTCCCATTCAGCACTGGTACCAAATTTTATGCCAGTGGAAAATCAACACAAGAAGTACTGTACTTTTGGTGCTTTTTTTCTAGCACCTAAAGTACTGTACCTGGTGCAGTGGAAAAGTGCCCATAGAATCCGACTCGATCGGAATCATCGGCACTGAATTTGGAAAGTCTTACCATAGAAGCTGACTCATTCTGAATCATCTGCACCATGTTTGGAAGGTCTTACCATAGAAGACGACTCATTCTGAATCATCGGCACCATATTTGGAAGGTCTTACCATAGAAGACGACTCATTCTGAATCATCGGCACCATGTTTGGAAGGTCTTATCATAGAAGCTGACTCATTCTGAATCATCGGCACCATGTTTGGAAGGTCTTACCATAGAAGCTGACTCATTCTGAATCATCGGCACCATGTTTGGAAGGTCTTACCATAGAAGACGACAACTTTGGAATCGCTGACACTGTATTCAGGTCTTACTTTAGATAGTGACTTGTCCTGGAGCATTGACACTGTCTTAATTCTTCTGATAGCATGTTGGCCTGTCAAGTCTCTTTGGCTAATAAGTTATATTTTTGTGTGCATACTGGTAAAACCATTAGTGGTGTTCACAGGGGATGATTGGTGTTGTGGCCTTCTTAAATCCTCATGATTGTCTGACACTTTTTTCTCTTCATTCCCCCTTAATGAATGCTAATGGTTCTGCCTTCACACCTTGCTAATTGTTTCTTTGTGAGGTTAAACACTTGGTAACGACTTGCCTATTGAGCAGTCATATGAATGTTTACTTACTTACTCCCTTCCCTCCCTATAAATTGCTCACACACAGCTCCTATCTACTAAATCAACGATCACCAGCAGCTCTGTGCAAAGACAAGCAGAACTGAATTTGACCTGAGCATAGCTTCATATATATAAAGGGATTTGCTTGATGGGCCATACTGGACCTCAGTTGAGTCTTAAGCATCAACAGATGTCCAGAATGCATTTCTATGCATTTTATCTATATACCCAAAGTGTGCTTCAATAAACAGATACCTTCTACTGGAAGTAGTAAAATTCTTTTAAAATTTACATGCAGTCCATTGAATTTTGCAAGATTTCATATCATGCATTTGTCCTATTTTAGTTAAACTTTTGGTTATAAATTCTTCACACTATTTGAAATGGTTTCAGAGCTGTACCACTTACATTTTATATGTATCTGAATTGCCCTTTGGAAACCTCAAAGGATTGCCCTTTCATAGGGATTGAAACCTAAATGGGTTATATTAACAAACAGTGCTCCTATGTGCAAGGCCCTTTCTGTTCTGAGGTACAGTTTTTGTTTCATTACCAGAGAGTCGGAGTCCTGCTGGATTGACCAAACCCAAACATCAATGAGCTCTTGTATTCCCCCATCCTCTATCATACACACACTTTCTGCAAACAATGTTTTTGTTTGTTTGCCTTTTGGCACTCACAGAAAAACACTGTACTGTATATTTTAAACATTTTTTAAGTTTGCTTTTCATATCTCTGTTGGTTAATTTTGACTCTAGTTTTGTTTTTGTTTTTCCTGGAGGTAATAAGTTGGAGCAAAATAAATATTTGGCTGAAAATTATTTGGCAAAATTCTGGGCTGTGTTTAAGGTGGCAGCGTAGAGAAATAAAAAATAAAAACTAATTTATTGAGACAAAACGGAAATGATGGAAAATTTTATTAGCTTTATAGATGAAGCAATCTGAATGTGGGTGTTCATAAAACTGAGTCAGACTGATTTAGTTGCACGTGATATTTCCTAACTGTATTCATCCTCAGAAAGTGTGTTTGCAGGCTAATCGTTTGCTAAATGAATTTAGATGCTGTTTTAAATGCTGTTTTTTTTTAATGCATTTAAATGCTGTTTGTTAAATGAATTTCAGCTCGACTGAAATTGATGACATGCTCCGGAAGTCCACCAACCTCCTCCTGACGCGAACGCTGAGCAGTGGCCTGCAGAGTCTTATCCGGAAGCCCCACATAGGGCTCACCGAGGTACGTACTCTTTTCAGAGGTGGAGATTTCAGGTCCAGAGAGCACAAATCCAGACCAAGAGTTTGTTGCAACCAACCAGTTGAGTACTCTGTGACTGTGACTCTTTATACTCAACTGGTTGGTTGAAACAAACTCTTGGTCTGGATTTATGCTCTCTGGACCTGAAATCTCCACCACTGACTCTTTCTAGTGTAAAATCCTTTACTCCCTTCTGGAGTAAGATGCATGTGTGATCCATATAAGCATATTATACCTGTTTTTGGTGGGTTTTTGTCTTTTTCGTGGAATGATTTCATATCTTAAGAAAAATTCTCTATAAAGTCTTTCAGAGGTGAGAAGATCAGTAAGTCATTGTTACAGCTGGAGTATATTCCAGTGTTTACTTGTGTAACCATGAGCTCTTTGAGTAAACTGTAGTAAGAATGAGCTGGGTGGTGTCTTCTCAGTGGCAGGGAGGATAGTGATTGGACCCAGTAAGCTGTTGTTATTGCTTTTCAGCTAGTTCAGATCATCATAAACACCACCCACCTGGAACAAGCATGCAAGTACCTGGAAGATTTTATCACAAACATCACTAACGTCTCCCCAGAAACCGTCCACACCACAAGACTTTATGGGCTTTCAACGTTTAAGGTATGCCGGTCAGAGGTGTATAAAATCCCTCTTTGCAATTATATGCTCTTGGCACATACGAATATTTTCCACATTACGGTTTACTTAAGACCTGCTGAGAACATTTACACTGAGGGCAGTTTGGTCAAAGGAAATGTGTTTCATCAAATTAATGGGACTTTGGAGGTCGACCAGAAATGCCACCTTTTGCCTTTTCTTGCCCGTCGTGTGTCGTTTTCAACACACACGACACAAAGGCTGACTGAAAGAAATTTGATCTCAGTGTGTGACCCATGCATCATAGAGCCAAGACGACGGTAGATATACTTTGATGTGACTTGTGAATGAATGGATTGAAGTCGACTGAGTTTCAGCAAGAATGCCGACTCGTCCATGTGGTGGTCTTCAGGATGCCAGGCATTCAGCAGAGGGCGAGATCTACACCAAACTCAACCAGAAGATAGACGAGTTCATCCAGCTGGCCGACTACGAGTGGAGCATGGCGGAGTCTGACGGCCGAGCCAGCGGATACCTCATGGACCTTATCAACTTCCTCCGGAGCACCTTCCAAGTTTTCACACACCTGCCGGTGAGCCCAGGCCCAAATCGGGGGCGAGACCGCAGGCTCGTCTGCACTGTGGCTCGCTGAACGTAAACTGTGGCTCTGAGGGTGGGAGAGGGAGCGGGGCGGCTGTGGCACGCGGGGGGGAGGTCCAGGAAACGCCGTCTGCCTGCCTGCGTCAGGGGGGGTCTTTTCTAATAGCGGTAGCTGACAGTGTTCCCTCGTAAAAGGGGCCCATGGCGCCAAAGATTCCATTACTGGTGCTTTCCAGTCATTTTGGGGTATAAAGTTGTGCCCCATAAAACATCCTGGGAAGCAGTGGATGAGAAGAATTCAGCACCAGACCTGATCGATCAGCAGATCTGATCCACATCTATGGAGTTACTCATCCAGAAAGCTGCTAGAACTCTCCGTTTTTAACCTTTACTGTAAACATATAGCTTTTTTTGTCCAGAGTGTAATTTTAGTAATCAAAATGTGGACATGTGACAAACCAGGTACAATAATGCGTCAGTCCAGAAACCGGGGTAATATCACAGCAGCGTGATCCTGAATGGCAGTTAGACCCTCATCTCAGTGCATTTCAGTAACGTCCCGCTGTGTCTCCCCAGCACTGACCGATCTCCTACTCCCTCTGCTTTTCCCCACCTTCCATTCCTGCCTGCCTGTGAAATCGGGTGTCAGGCTTGCCTGTTGTTAGCTATTCCCTGTTGCCCGCACCTTGACCTGTGCTACATGTGCCTGTATATTCTACTTCTTTGCCAGACATGTTTGGTTCTCTACCTCCTTTCCTGTCCATTTATTTTTGCTATACTTTCTTTCCCTGTTCATACTTGAATTTTGGGTTCCGCTCAGAATAACAACAATGATCATGCGGCGATGTCGGTGAGTAACCGCCCGTGAACGGAGGTGGAAACGCATGCTCATGTCAGTCCTGTGGAGCCGCCTCCAAGCTTGTCGCTTCTTCCACATGTAATCACAGATTCGGTTGGAGGCGAGAGGTCTATGTCCCCCCCCCCCCCCACCTTGTCTTTGTGCCGTGAAACTCCGATACTCCAGAATGTGTCATCCACACGAAAACGTGACAATGCTGTCTGTTTCTCAGGGGGAGGGAGAGTCTTTAGTGTTTTTTTCTTAGAGCAGTGGTTCCCAATCCGGTTCTCGGGGACACGCAGACTGTTCCCGTTTTTGCAGGCACCTTGGGAGGGAGCAAAAGTGTGGACCTTCTGTCGGTCCCAGAGAACCGGGTTGGGAAACACTGTTTTGGAGTAGTCAACACCCTTTAAGAAAAGGCATTCTTAAAGGCATTGCAAGAGATGCACTGCTTAATTGTCAAATAAGCATTACAGACTGTGAAGTGTAACCACACGTTATTCTGTCAGAATACGTTGGTTGTACTCGTGTTCGTCTAGATACAGAGCGATGGTTTGTCTAGCAGCTAGTCACATGCTAATGTGTCAATCAGCAGATCGATCCTCTTTCTTGGTAGGGGATCGACTCGGAATGACCTGTTTTTTTTTTTTTTTTTTAATCAGGGAATGTCCCACCATTACTCCCATTAAAAGCCAGTGTCGTTTCACCTTTACAGTGTCTTGGTCCCTCCTCCTCCGGCTAAGCTTGTTGCCTGAGGGATTCGTTTCATCCACCCAGTGCAGTTATGGGTGATAAATCATATTGGTAGGCATTTGAGTGAAAGATGAAGGTTCCTTAACAGGTAGCCCATGGCGATTAAGACACCTGCGTGTTAATTCCATAATCCCAGTGCCCAGCCCACTGTCACTCATTAATGGGGATAGGAGGCCGCAGTGTCTGTGGGTGACCCTTTGGGAATTCCTGATGAAATCAGTGTGTCATTCTTGACAGTCCATTTTTTAAAACACGGTCATTATTATTATTATTTTCTCAATCAGTAATCTTTTGATATGTGATACCACCTCTCCCCCAATCTTCAAAGCAGTTAACGACTTATGTGAAACTCTTTCTCTCTCCAACTGTAAATTATGATTTTCTTTGGAATATCCTCCCCTGTGAATTCACTGTACAGCACGTGTGTTTCCACTCTCTGCCCTATGGACCAGCGTTTCGCTAAGATAACAATAATTTTGGTTCTTGTTTGGTGAATTTTTAAGTCAGAGGAGCATGTTAGCAGTTCATGGTGGGCTGCAGCTTACGCTGTTGGGTTTAGGGCTGGGAGCAGGACTAGACTGGTCTCCTGAAGTCACGCTCAGCCTTTTCATTTACAGAACATCAAGCCCTCAAAGTATTGGGTTAATGGTTGTGCTTAGCATGAAGGCGCTCTTCATGAACGGTTGGTGCACAATAATTCTGGAGTCTTTAATTACACGGAATGGAGCAGAGGAATGCGCGTGTTAGATGCCGTTAGATGGTTTTACTCGAGACGCGTGTGGGGATTCTGACTAAGTCTGAGTCTGGTTCCTTATAGACTCAATCTCACATCATGTGGGCTGTAACAGTGGAGTTTGTCTGTGCCCCCCCCCCCCATCTGCAACACCAGAGTTGCCCTCACCTCCATGGCTTCTGTCCTTCGTTTCGGCTGACATTTATCCAGAGCGTCACCTATATGTTAGGAAACCCCTTTTAGGGGGCAGAAATTAGTAACAGGATGGTTTCCCCTTGTCATCGTTCATTACACCTTTTTTCTCCCCCCATTTTCGCATTTGTCTCATTGTGCTTGACGAATAGAGCCTGTTGTGATGGAATTAACCTGGGAGGCAACTGCCGACCTTCATTCTGCCATCGGCTCGTCACGCGTGGGTTCTGGGCACAGGGCTGCGTCGCTCACTCTCGCTAAGCCATGCATGCGTCACTGCATTCATTTCAGGCCAGGACTGCCGATTATCTTTCTCTAGCTGCCTCAGATGTAACCAGTAATGGGGTAGATTCTCCTCCGGCACGTGGAAGGGAGTTGTTTGCGGATAGGGTTACTCATGTTATCTACAGAACCACAAGATGGCAGTTCGGAAAAGCCGCTGTCTCTGCTCATCATGTAGGTTACTTCTGATTAAAATCACTATACGACACAAAAGCTGCTTTAAAATCTAAGAAGTATAAATTAAAAACTGTTAATTTGGCCCACGGACGAAGGCGTTTTCAAAGTGCCCGCCTCCTGTTTTGCTGGGGGGCTGAGCCGGCTTGTGGGATGCTGCATGGACCCAACCACGTCTCTCACTGCATTCCACTGGATGTCGTCTGATATGTCTTGGGCAGAGTGGATGAGTCATATCCGCTACCAACGCATGTGTCATTTCAGCAGCCGCTGTCCATTGGCATGTCCTTAGCTGTAAGAACGCATGTCTGTGTGTGTGCGTGTGAGTGTTCCCTCTCATTTCACAGTGGCGTGTTCAGGCAAAGCTATTTAGCTTTGCGTCTGCCTGTCCGTGTGGTTGTCATGTGACTTGGGTGCTAATAACACAAAGCCACACCCCCCCCCCCCCCTCGAGCACAGTAGCGGTGGGGCCTGCCATCTCCTCCCGTCTGTGGTTATCGTCTGTTATCGTGTGACGTCTGCGTGTCATGCGGATCGGGGCCCGACGGCTCTCACAGGTCGGCGGCCTCGGTGTGTTTCCTGTCGCTGCAGGGCAAGGTGGCGCAGACGGCCTGCATGTCAGCCTGCAAGCACCTGTCCACCTCCATGATGCAGATGCTGCTGGACAGCGAGCTCAAGCAGATCAGCATGGGCGCCATCCAGCAGTTCAACCTGGACGTCATACAGTGCGAGCGTGAGTCCCTGTTCCTGGCGTGGGATCCTCTGTGGGCGGCACGGCGGGCAGGCCCCGTGACACCGGGGATGGGAGGTGGCAGGAGGGACTAGATTCGGGGAACAATAAAAGGTATTTATGTGTTAGTGAAGGGGAAAACACAGCTAAATAATTGACAAGAGGGGGTGTCGGATTACGCCTGGTTGTGAGGCTTGTGACCAGGCTGCGTGAGAGAAAACAAAACTTACTGCGATATAATGACGGGGAACGAGGAGCAGGGGATCTGAAGGAGCTCCCGTGTCACCTGACCAGCCCCCGCTGTTATAAAGGGCTGTGGGGAAGCGTCAGTACGCTCATCACTCATTTTTTTAGTAGTATGACTATATAGTCACAAGATATTTATATATACCACGGTAAATAATGTATAAAATAAAGTTCAGCAGTGCTGGATGAAGAACCTGGCCCGTTATTATCGACTGCGGTTTACCAGTCTGGGATTAATTCAGAAAGGGGGGGGGGGGTCTGACCCACTTCCTTAGAGAACCCAGTGATTTCTAGTTACTCATGTGCAATTTAAAAATACTGGCATGGCTATTAAAGGGTTTCCACTAGACAAAGTAATTACAGCTTTTAGCTTTATGAAACAAATTGATACAGATCTAAGGCAGTAAGATGCTCTTCCTTCTGGAAATGCCGCTTGAGAAGTGGGATCTAATGGTGTTGAACTTCCCGTGGGGGTGAACTTGAGCAGCCTTTCTCGCATTTGGCCTGGAAATGCCACGTTTCGCCTTCTGTAACTAGTCTCTGGGCTGCCGGCTGCCGGGGACCAGTTCCTGCTTGGTGCCGCATCCCCGACTCGCGCCACTGCTATCATTTCGTCGTTTGTCATTTTTCTGATTTTTTATTTTTTCTTTACTTAAAGTTTAGGAGTTTTCTTTCGCCATGTATATACCTTCCTCAAAGGGTACTACAGTAGTGCTTTCCTGTGGACTCGAACCCTCGAGCTTGCGGTTACATGTCCGCAGCCTTTCATCGGCACGCTTTCTTCCGCTACCCCTTGATCCCACCGTTGTGTTGAGGGAGATTATCTGCGATTCCAGTTACAACCCAGCTGTCACTGTTCAAAGCTTATTGGCTTTGTATTTTTGAAAAGATCTGTTTGACAAAGGCGAAGTTCCAAACCTGGATTCTTAGGACCCTTTAATGAGATGTGTATAAGCCTGGCGTGAAATTGACCGGGTGTTTAAGGTAATCCAAAAGCTTTGGTCCTCCGTTGCTGGAGCCACGCAGTCTCAGAACATGCCAGAAGATCCCGGGGCTCTCCTGTGTTGACGAGATCGTCCCCAGCCCCGATTTCCCTGAGGGGGAGCCCTCTACCTCCACTGTGCTGCGCCGAAGTAGCAGTTCGCAAGGGAGGGGGGTGTCGAGGTGGGGAGGGGGGTTGTTATTAACAAAGTCAGTCAGGGGTGTGTTTCAGACACCGACCTGCTTTAAGTCTTGATTTACGCAGCACCCTGTCGGCCTCCCTGATTTTTCTTGCTGACTCCCCAGGATATATGGTCTCGGGGGGGGGGGTCACTTCCCATTAGCTTTGCAGACAAACTTGGCATGCAGCTTCCTACTGTAAAGTGAAAGATGGGTCATGCGGGCTGCGTGCCGTCGCAGGCAGGGTGAGGGGGATGCTGGGTAAGAGCCAGGGCCCCCAGCCGCCCCCCCACCCAGCGCGAGCCCGACGGTTACTCTCCACAATGCCGCCGAGTAGCACTCATCGCTGGAGGTAACTTAAGCTGCATTTCTGTCAATGAGTCAGGATAGGAGGCGTGCCAAGCGTGTTTTCTTTAAGGATTATGCGTGTCTGTCCGCGGTGAGTGATTTGTGTGTGCCGCGGTGTAGTTATCCGGCGACCTTTCACACCTCACCCTTCCCGGGAGGTTTGGTGTGCCGCGTTTTATCTCGCGTGCAGTAGGGCTAAGCCCCGCGCGCGGTTTAACGGCTTCTGTGCGGAATTTCACCGCAGCTGCCCAACGTGCGGTGCTTTAGCGGCTAAAAGTCTGATGGTTTTATTTTAGCCGTATCAAAATGCGTAGATTGTGTATGAATGATTGTTTTTCAGGCCTGAGCAGGGGTCGTAAACATTAACGGCAGTTACAGTGACTATAGGCAGCCCTATGTTTTATGCAGGATGGCCAGTATAATCCCATTTCGGGAACGTGACTGCAAGCAAATTTTCCTTTTAAAATCACAGTTGTGTGGTCTGTTTGACATTAAGTAGGATCCAGCCATCATTTTTGGTTCTTTTGCATAAAAGTCTCGGAGCCTGCAACACTTTTCTTAAATTCTGTATGGTTTGGGCTACATTGAGTGATTTCAGTGTAATTTCAATAATTGTAATTTATTATTTCCCTTTGACCAACATGCAGAATAAAAATGCCAGCCTAGTCCGATACACACTAGAAGGCAGACTTGGAAAATCCTTTATGTTGCAGCTTGGACAAGCAGAATAGGCATCTCACTAGAGCTTTGAAGACTTACTGTATACAGATGTGTCCGTCACTCGGAGAGGCTGGGAATTAGCAGTCCTTGAGTTTTTACATAATGAACACTGTGTTCTTCATTTTCAGGAACATTCAGAGATTTTTAGAAGTGACTAGCCCTTTTTCATACGTCTGAGTTTTTAGTTAATATGTTTTAATGTTGTTTAAAGTGAATTTGATCTGAGCCATTCAGTCAACATCTCAATGAAGCCTAGTTAATAACGGGAGCAGCTGGAGCAGAGCAGCACACGGTGTCACTGCTATCTGTTCCCTGCTTCTGAAGCTCTTTATTCCTCAGTTCTTCATTAGTGAAGGAGATCTTGGCTGGCTTTGCAGTGAGTGACTGTACTCATTAAATGTATGAGGTTTTAAAAAGATTGGATATCCTGCAAATGCACGTCCAAGAAAAGCTTGGAGCATCCAAATCAGTGTTAATGAGTTTTATATGCAACAGCCTGAACAGAGCAATTGCAGCTGCAGTCTGACTGTGTGTGTGTGCGTGTGTGTGTGTGTGTGTGTGTGTGTGTGTGTGTGCCTCTCCCTCTCCCTGCAGTGTTTGCCAGCTCAGAGCCAGTGCCGGGATTCCAAGGAGACACACTGCAGCTGGCGTTCATTGACCTCCGACAGGTAAAAGCCTTTGAGCTGCCCGACTCCGATGGCTGAGGGAGGTGGGGGTGTCGGTCCTCCGTGGGTTTGGGAAGTGCTCATGGCCCCCAGAATCCCTGTGCTCTTTGTGTCCCTGGGACTGGGGGGGGCCTAATGGACTGCAGCTCTAAGGCCGGGGCTCTCTGAAAAGCCCAGACTTGCTCACGCTTTTGTAGTCACTGTTTCCAGACATTCTGTCTCTTTTTGTCCCCCAAACGTAAACCGAACATTTTGGGTCGACCTTCTAATTGCGACCTCAGGCGACTGGCTTTCACAGGTGGGAGGGACCTAGAATCCCTCATCAGAGCTCATGGGACATTCATCTAATGGCCAGCACTCGACCCGAGAAAAACTTTGCTGCTTCTTGCACTCCGTCCAACAAAGATTAAAAAAAACTAAAAAAAAAAACTATAAATACTAGTGGCCTGTTTCCAAGTAGTGTGACTTTATTAACATTTCTAATGCCTTAATCCTCCCGCTTAATGTGAGGCACCGAACCCGTCACATTTCAGTCTGAGACGTGTTGATTCCACACATTCATGTCCCATCGATCTTCATGTAATTCGAGACGCTCCCTAAAGTTGTGTGTAGACAACACTGTTCCAAATATGCGCGCTGACATCGTGCCGGGTAGCCTAATCGCTATTCACTCTGAAGGCGCTTACGTTTCCACGTCAGTGTAGTTATCTGTCTGGATCTGACAATGAAGGCACTGTGTTCTCGCGTCCTCACAGTCACGCGGCGTCCGACTTAATCTTCAAAGGTGTGAAACACGAACATTCTGCTGTTATTAGTCTGGTCTAGGAGGTCCGATGACAGACGCGACTCTCCGCAAATCCATGGCCTTTACGTTCTTCCCGGGAGAAGCTGTCCACCTTGCTCAGGAGCCTCTGCTCCTGGTCACATGACTCTCTGTCACATGACTCTCCACTCCTGCAGTTTTCTGCACATGCTACCCAGTTCAGCTTATGTCTACACTTTCTCTCCATAAAACCTTTTTCTTTCAACACTTTTTGTGTTCAAATGGAGTGGGTGACGTTTTTAAATTTGCTTCGTGATAAATGACACCCTTTCCTGGGCCAGGGGTCCGCCCTTCTTGCATGTGACGTCCATCTTTGCACGCTTACCTGTCAGAGATGAGGGTGTGAACCTGGGCCTCGGGGTCTGCCCCCACCCCGCCCCCCGGCAGCCTCACATCAGCACCCCCGCCGTCACGGGGCAGCTCAGGGTGGCCGTGGTACCATCCGAAATGGGTGGGGGGGGGGGGGGGGGCTTTGCAAAGAATGAAAGTAGATGTGACCTGGTGAAAGACTGCAGCTAACAGACACATCAGTGGGAAGGGCCTCCCTTTGAGAAGGAGCTGACCCAAGATTGAAAGATGAGGATCTCTCTGGCCCTTGTTGGAATCGCTAATGGAAGCTGGGTCTCCCCTCTCAATGGGTCCCCTTCCCTGCCGCCCATTCGCCTTTTGTCAGCAAGCCCTGGTGTGTTCCTCACCCTCATTATCTCACACTTGGGATGCTTTGCTCCGCAAGTTTACACCTGCTGCAGACTGTCTTGTGCTTCTTGGTAATCTGGAGATTTTGGGTTTTAATCGCGAAGGCAGAGTTTGATCGGTACCATTTTTGAAGAGGAGTTCTGTTCACATCCTCTCTATTACTTTTTTTCTTTTTTACTCTCAGCTGCCACTCAGTACTCGAAACCCTCACATTGTTGTCACTGTAATTGTGTGACTTCAATAGGCGTCGATTTCCCACTTCATCTCTGATGTCGTCTCCGTCTACTTCTTGCAGAACTTTGGCTGTGATATGTAAGGTTCCAGCACAACAAAAGGCACAGAACAGCCTCCAGTCCGTCAGGCTGCTTTGACACCGTGGAAACTTCCACGCGCATCTGCTACAAGCTGTTTAACTGCAGATCTGCACTGAGCCGTTGTCCTGCTGAGATTTACAGCCCCCAATATTCATATGTCATAGAAAAAAAACTGTATTTGGATGCTGGTAGTGCACGCCAAATGCTAGATACATCTGATATTAAATATATATTATATGCCAGTGTTATAGACATATTAATGGTATTTGGAATGTTCATTGTAATTCATTCTCTACCTTTAGGTGTGTTTGCAGGGCACAGCTGATACCTTTATCAGAATTAAATTATGTGTTAGCAGAGAAGAAAACAGGGCCTCCGAGTTTATCCCGTATCTCCTAATCTCCCGCAAGCTGCCGCTTGCCTTATGAGCCTTATGAAGCTGTTCCTGATACATTCTCCTTTTGCACTCGTATCTTTGCGGAAGAATTTATAATTGAGCTCAAGAAAAAAAGAAGAAAAAAAAACTGCTTCCCGGATTCCAGTTAAGCGTGTCTAAATGGTGCCTTTGGCTTTTCTAAGCCGGACTGACAGGGGACCTCAGGAAGTACGGAGGAGCAGTGAGTGACTGCAGTTTGGGTTCTGATGCCGCTTTGGCAGCCACACCTCCTGGGTGTTTGTGCTTCTGTGGGGTGGTACAGGGCGGAAAGGATTAGACCCAAGGCTGGGAACAGCCTCCCGGCGCGGGGAGAGAACTCCCGGTGAACTCTGCCTGCTCAGTGTTTGTTCTCTTCCACGTGTTCCCCTTCTCCGGGTCACTGGGCCCCGCTGCACGTTTGCCACAGTGCCGGGTCGGCGCTGTGTGTTTAAGGTTTGGCCTTTTCTGTTTACGTGGGAACACGTCCACGGCGTCGCTGTCCGTCGTGCACAGAGCTTCCAGTGTTGGAGGGTCTTTGAATCCAAGTCCTCTGCGCTAGTAATGTGTCTGAAAGGCCTTTCAGGTAACCAGCGCCGGGTAATATCTGCTATTATTTGCATTTTTCTCCGGATCTCTCATCGAAAGCCAGTGACACATATAATGTAATTGCACTGCGTCCATGATGGAGTAGACCAAAAAAATAATAAACAGACCCTGGTGATTTTCACAGTGTTGAGCATAAAATCCATTAACCAGGCTAATGAGATGCTTCAAAGTCCTTCAGCCAGGATAGCTGGTATGTAGCGGAGGGGGGTGGATTACTGCATCATTTCTAATTCGGGGGTGGTGGGGGGGGTGCTGCTGGCACGAGAAGCCCCATCCATCCCACTCCCTGTGGCAGTGATGATTGCCGGGATGATAAGGGGTCTGCTTAGCTCAGCAGGAAATCGCAAACACTCAACGCCATCTAACCGGCCAGGGCCAACCGGCTCGGGGCACGAGGATGACATCCGCCGGTAACCAGCCACCTCAGAGCTGTTTGTACAGTGCATAAGCTACTTACTGCTCTCCCGCTATCAATTCGTATTAACATACACAAACATGTGAACTCATTTCACTTGTCACTCTACAGTTTATTTATCACAAAGTCCCACCCCAGTCAATTTAGGATTGAAAGGAAAACAAAGTCGAGCCAGAGGCCCGGGTTTAAATGGGCAAAGGTGCCGAAGGTCATTGGCCGACAGGGACCTGAGAGAGACCATTGGCCGACGGGGACCTGAGAGTGACCATTGGCCGACGGGGACCTGAGAGTGACCATTGGCCGACGGGGACCTGAGCTAATCTCTGCTGTGGGTTATCCAGGGGTCGGCCAGGCATTCCTCCCTTTCTCCGCAGCAGATTATCTCTCCTGCGCCTCCACCGTCTCGGCCCCCAGTTACTAATACCTGCGACAAAGCACTGTGTTTAAATAGGAGCTCGCGGACCGTGTGTGCGGGGTGCCGACCAGGAGCGCAAAAGGAGCCCAAGTGCTCTTAGTGTTTCTGTCTGTCATGAATTATTATTAGTTTCTCACCAATAGCTCCGGGGAAAAAATAAATCAGTTTTGCTCTTTTCTCAGTTTATGGGTAGGTGCCTTTTTAAGAAACTCCATGCAACTTCCCTGCATCTCATTGATGAAGGGCTTCTTCCTTGCTTTATGGGTCTTCAGTCCTGCCTCTAGGAGCCTGTTATGAACTGTCCTAGCAGTTCACTTCACACCACTTAATGTCTCCCATTCTTTTTGAAGGTCACTTGAGGTCATCCTCTGATTTATGAGGCACTGCCAGATAAGTTGACGGTCATCTCTGGCATTAGAAGGTCACTTCTGCCTTGTACCTGGCTGGTGTTTGGTCATTGCCAGTGTCTCCTGCTTCACCTTGTTTACTTTCATTTGTGTACTGCTGTCTTAGAAGCCTTGAGCCTGGAAGCAGCCTGCCTCGCAGTGTAGCCGCCTGGAAGCAGCCTGCCTCGCAGTGTAGCCGCCTGGAAGCAGCCTGCCTCGCAGTGTAGCCGCCTGGAAGCAGCCTGCCTCGGAGTGTAGCCTTCTGCCAGCTGAGCCAGGATTAAACCAGGATTTGAAAATTCCGATTTTTAAAAAATACACAGATGTATGATAGCAGGCAATGAGTAACTTAACAAATAATGAGGCAGAACTAAAAATAGACTCTCTTTTTCTCTTTACAAAATGTATTGAAATATCTGAAATGACAAATGTAAGCCATTAGTATTAAAATGCCTTTCTGTGTGCTGTAGATCTGCAGTGTTTTCACTGCTGATTTGACTTCTTGGCTTCTGTCCCGAAAGCTTCTGGACTTGTTCATGGTGTGGGATTGGTCCACCTATCTAGCGGACTACGGACAGCCAACCTCGAAGTATCTGCGCGTCAATCCCTCCACTGCACTTGCACTTCTGGAGAAGTGAGTCTTTGCACGCCAATCCTGTTGCATCTGTTGCAGTGTGTGTGCGTGTGTATGGCCAAAAAGGCTTTATGCAAGTACAAAGCAATTCTTCTGCATACATACTTATTCCTCACACAGTTCCCAATTGCTTGTTTGTTGATGTCTCAGTTGTATAATCATGAATGTAGGTAAAATATACATGCACTTAAAATTCTTTGCCCTTTTTATCTGTTCACACATGCTTTTCAGAGTGTACAGGGGGTATGTATATTTTTTTAGTGGATTGCTTACTTAGCCTCTCAGTTAATCATGATAGTATTCATTAAGGTGCTTTCATAAACCATATTCATTTGTATGACATATTGAGCATTAATTAAGCTCTTGAATTGTTCAGTGAAATAATTTGGTAATTCTGTGTAATTGTATAAGAAATTGTAGACCGCATTTACTCATTAAACAGGCACGGCCTGTGTATGGGAATGCAGCGTTTCAGGGAAAAAATTACTGAATATATAATTAATATATATATATATATTCATTGTTAACTTTGCACTATTCTGGCTATTGCATATGCTACTGCCAACCAGTTATTGTCAGCTGTAAAAGCTTAGTTAGGGAGTTTCCCAAAATAATGCTGGCTGATTCGCAGTTTAACAACTCGCTTCTATCACCCGCTCTTACAGAATGAAGGACACAAGCAAAAAGAACAACATTTTCTCCCAGTTCAGAAAGAACGACCGTGACAAACAGAAGCTGATCGAGACGGTGGTGAAGCAGCTGAGGAGCCTGGTAAATGGAATGTCCCAGCATTCCTAGAGGCAGGCTCCTTCAGACCGAACGAGACTGGACCGACGCCGCATATGAACAGGGCAAAAATAAGAACAATTTCACAAACCCTTACACACATGAGCAGTGAAAATTTTTTTTAATGTATTTTTAATGGCTGATAACTACGTTTTGTATATCGTGAATGTGCTATGATTGTAACACCGCAAGCGGCTGGTGTTCCGGATCAGTGAGAATGTACTGCCCAGAGACCTGTGACTGGACCATGAAGTCCCAAAGCAGGGCTGATCTTCAAAGGTATCTGCAAAATGCTCCATAATGCAATATACTGTAAATACATTTAAGAGTGTGCAGTGCTCCCCATAGACTGGATGGAAACAGGATGACGACTGAATGGTCAACATTTTCAACGAGGGACCCTGCATAATGCTGTCAATTTATTATTTAAAATGGAAAGACCTTCCTGTACACCCCTACCTTTATGCATACTTTTCCTTTCATCGAGGGAAATGTGTACATACTTTTTAAGAAGTGAAATTAAAGGTTTTAAGTAATTCTGAGGTAATTACTTGCATCCAAAACACTACTTTGATTTTTACTTTGTTTTGTCTCAGGGTGAACTGTCAGCTCTTAGGTTAAGATGCTTTAGAAGGTTGTGCTAAAGTGTAAAAACAAGCAATAATTGGTTCATTTCAGTCTCATACACAGACCTGCTAACGGTGTGAGGATGTAACATTTCACAATTGGGCTCTAGTCTTTTTTGGTCCATACTACTATAATAGGCATTTTGCACTGAAGATTGTTTGCATTTTTCTTTTTACAGATGATAATGTATTAAGAAATGTACAGACAGCACATTTGTTTTTAAAAATGTAATGCAATAGAACTCATGTTTACTCTGTTGCTTAAAAATATATATATATAATATATATATACAGACACTCTACTTACGAATGAGATACGTTCTGAATGGCTATTCGTTAAATGTTCGTAAGTCTTTATTCAGCATCATTTTAAGGGTTTAAGCAAGTACAAAGAATTAGGATGCTGGTAGTACGCTGCTGCGCGGTGGGAGTAGCGGCCAGAAGTCATACTAAGTGGAATTGGCGCGCAGAGAAAAAAAAATTATGTTGCGGACAGGAAACGGGAGCCCAAGGAACACGGTTTACAATTACAGTCCTCTTCGTTCGTATGTCTGAAAGTTTGTAAGTTGAAAGTTCATAGGTAGAGGAGCGTCTATATATATATATATATATATATATATTAATGTGAGAGAGAGAGGGGAATGCTGGGAAGTTTTTCTTGACCCCGAAAGTAACTGCATTTCAGTGTATCGATAACTAAGTTGTTTGATGAAGGGAAAACTAAATTGTCCTTTCAAAATAATTACTTGATGCCTTTGTGCATGGAAGGAACACGTGGGCCTGTTTGATGTAACAATGTAACATAGGGAACCTGAAGAGAGATCCAGAGGACTTCGCCTGGTAGTTTCCTATGGCAGCCTGTGACAGTTCTCTGAAACTCGCTGTAGCCGACCTGTTACTCATATCCTTTTACTTAAGTGTTCCCTTCAACTCTCCTATGCGCAGTTATAATATGGTGACTGTGATAATCATTTCAAGCCCTAAAAGGATGAGCATAAGCACACACTAACGATCTTCCGTGTGCTCTCTTGAATCCGCTCGTCGCACATTTCCTACTGTACATCGCTTTCTTATTTGAGTGTTTGCAATAAATACATAGCTCTTTTGCTTTAAGTAGATGTTATTTAAATGTAAGAAATGAAATTCAATGTAAATAAAAATTGATGCTGATTATATATTTTCACGTATGCAGTATTTTTAGGAATACATTGGTGAGACGAATTGAAAGAAGTCAAAATTTTTTATGGGAGTTTATATTGATTAGTATTGTACAGTATATAACAGGTTGTTTGAACTTGTGGTGTTAACATAAAAAATACCTAGAATAGGTATTTCACAATCCACAGGGCATTGCATAATAATTATTAATAAGGATGACACTTTATTGATCCCTGTGGGGAAATCCCTCTTTTCACCTACCCTATCTTGCACTCCATGACACACAGACACATATGTGGGTGAGATCAAGCCTGGCAGCGAAGGGCAGCCACCTGCAGGGAAGCCCATGGAGCCGGGGGTTAAGGGCCTCGCTCAAGGGCCTGCGGACATGTGACTTATGCCAAGGTGGGGCTCAAACCAGCGACCTTCCGTTTACGGGCACAGAGGGTTATCCCACTGAGTGAGGAGTGGCTGCCACATCCCGTGCGTGTCGTCTCTGCATTTCATAGCAATTTACTAAAAAACTCAGTTACTATATTTGTAGTTGAACAGAAAGCTTCCTTTTGGAAAGCCATAGAATCGCTGACAAGTTGTTTCTGTAAACATAATTTAGCCTTTTTCTTATTTCAATGTATTACAACCAACTGGCAGAAGATCTAGCAGCTTCTGTATAAGTACAACATGCACATCACTGAATATTAAACAGCAAGCACTGAACTTTAAACTTGCATGGATCATATTTAAAGGAAAGGCACATTGGCCTAAAGGTTCAGATGATTTATTTTAGGGAAGGTTGCCAGATTAACATTTTTAAAAAGTGTCATTAAAGCCAACCAAAATAGTTTTGTGTGTATAAGACTTGGCCATTCTGATTAGAAACCTACTTCAACTGGTAATAACCTCATTTGAATCATTTAAGAATTAATTGCATTATGCTGGGTGTGGGTAAGACAAGCACCTCAAATCACACATCAAAAATAACTATTCTTTGCTATGTGATTCTTTGCATCACATAGCAAAATAAATCAACATCAGTGAACCACCCTCGATTACGTGAATATATTAAAGTAATTGTAGAGAATGATGTTACTAAATTGATGTGCATTTGTTTTAGAACTTTTAATTTCAACATGTAACATTTATTCATTATTCCATTAACATGACTACAAAACCATTCACAATTCAGTCGCTCATCCAGTAAATGGTTCGGATAAGACTTAAAGGTTCTTTTTTTAAGAGTAAGTCATAAGAAAATCATATTCAGTCGCAATTGCGGTTACATATAGGCAATCACTATCGGCGGAATTATTACATTGCTCTATAGTGGTGATACCGTCCATAAAAATGCGGATTCTAAACGGTGACAAAATCATGAAAGTGGTGGGAGATTACGGTGGCAGAAGATTGCATTATCGTATTTCCACTGCAGGGCCGGATGTGGATTTGCGGTAGGTTACCTGTTTTCTCAGTGAGCTGCCATTCAACTCTCAAACTTTTTTTTTCTCACCACAAGGTCCCAAAGCCGCTCATCTGCCTGCCCCATATCCGAGGGTGTATTTAGGGAAACTTGGCTTTACTCTTGTCGATTTATCAACCTCCAAATATTCAAAACAAAGTACGTCATCTGCGAAGGTGGATCGTATGTTGCGCCGATATCTATAAAGCACCATGCGAGCAGAAAACATAAAGAAGTTTGCACTTGGGGGAAAAAATACTTTCAGGCAACGATTTGTGCTCTTTGCATGATTTTATTTTGTACGCCTAAAAGTGCATCAAGGTAAGCTTAATCTAAGTTTCACGTTTAGATGGAAGTAATTTTTCAGTGTTCACATCGGACGATTTGTCTTATTTCATGGTTCGATTTTTAATTACTACTGTGCTGTTTTCTAATGAAACTGGGTGTCTGTTCACCTTTGGTACTGAAGTAAACGGCGTAGCCTGAGCAAAATCGTAGACGTGTTCAAGAAATACCCGGCGAAACGACATAGAAGAAATGTTGGGATGTTTCATAATTTATGATTAGGAAAAATATCCTTACGTTTAGTCCTCTTTTACAATTAGATTTCATACGAAATCGTTATATTTAAGTAGATTTTTTTTGCGATTCAAATTAATATGAACTGTATTCTGTTTCAAAAATGCACTATATTTCTAGGCATCTGAAACAAGAGTTGGCACAAATCCTTCCAAATCACGTTTTGTCCGTGGACTAAGTGTTCCCAGAAGAACGTTTTTGAATTAGAGGCGCTCTTGGACCTTGAAGATGCTGGATCTTAATTTCCAGGTGCTGGGCACTGCCATCACATCTCTTTTATCTGTGCTGTTGCTTCTTGCTTTTTCCCGGCAAATATGGAACATCAGATGGACCAGCACGCGGGACAAAGACTGCAAACTGCCCCTGCCCAAGGGCTCCATGGGGTGGCCTCTCGTGGGGGAAACTTTCCACTGGCTATTTCAGGTGCAATTTTAGGGCTAATTTCATACAGCTCCATATAATGAAGTTCTGCAAAGAGGGTCCTAAATACTCACTTATCACTAATGTTTCACATTTGGTGTTTCTAGTATAGGGCTAACAACACAAGTCGTATTCTCCGTCCCAGTTCGTACATATTTTGTCATTGGTGCATTTTTCATGGAATGTCATCTTCCTAAAAAAATGTGGTCGATTAAAGTATAACGGGTCAGTGCGGAAACGTGGTTTTAATCCCACGCTAACCTACAGGGTTAAAAATAGACTGTCAACGTCACTATTTAAGGCGGGAATAAATCATTCATGCATTTTGTTTGTAAAACAGGGGTCCACCTTTCACATCTCCAGAAGAGAGAAGTATGGAAATGTATTTAAAACGCACCTGTTGGGAAAACCTGTTATCCGGGTCACGGGAGCAGAAAATATCCGTAAAATTCTCCTTGGGGAGCATCAGTTAGTGTGTACACAGTGGCCTCAAAGCACACGGATCATCCTTGGACCCAATACGCTGGTGAACTCCATTGGAGATCTTCACAAACTGAAAAGAAAAGTAAGGATGGTGGTACCCGACATGCTCTGCTGTTCGTTTGCAGTTTGACTCACAGGCATAAGTAAATACTACTGCAATATCGGTATACTGATTTTGAAACAAACGGTACAACTTAAATCGAGTTCACCAGGTCCAAACAAGTAACTTATTAAGGCTTGTATAAAAGATCATCAGGTAAAATTTTATAATTCATTTTTCTTTTAAGATTTTAGCGAAAGTATTCAGCCACGGGGCTTTGGAGACTTATATCCCACGCCTGCAAGACATCATCAAGTGTGAAATTGCCAAGTGGTGTTCAGTTGCCGGCCCGGTGAATGTGTATGCGGCGGCTCGATCTCTCACCTTCCGCATCGCCGTCCGTGTGCTGCTGGGTCTCAACCTGGAGGAGGCCCAAGTCACTTACCTCTCCAAAATATTCGAACAATTGATTAACAACCTATTTTCTCTCCCGATTGACGTGTCATTCAGTGGCCTTCGTAAAGTAAGTGTAGATTTTGTTTGGTGAAATACTATTTCACTACATTCTGGAAACATTATACCTAATTATTGTCACTGAACAGTGCATGAAGTGATATTTTTAGTTGTAAATATAAGTAAGCTGTCTTTCCGTTTGTAAAAAAAAAAACTACAAAGTGACGTAATACTGTAATAGATCTTGTGTTAACTCAGGTGAAGATGCTTAAGGCAGAGATCACAAATGTTTTATTTTTATAGGGCATTAAAGCTCGAGAAATACTTCACACCTATATGAAGACAATTATCGAGGACAAACTTAAGACCCCACAATCTGAAGGTTACGAAGATGCCTTTGATTACATTCTGAGCAGCGCCAACGAGAACAACCATAACATCACTATTCAAGAGCTTCAGGTAAAACTTAAGAGGCACGTTAGTGAGGCGAACTACCGGCCTGAGTTTATAAGCATTGCGATATTTAAATTGTATGACGTAAGATAATGAGAAATTATTTGTGTGTGTGAACTCATTGTATCGCACCTTCAACCTGCAGGAGACCGCAGTGGAGCTAATATTTGCCGCACATTCAACCACGGCCAGCGCAGCCACCTCGCTCATCCTTCAGCTCCTGCGCCATCCAGCTGTGATGGAAAGACTCAGATCGGAGATAAAGACTCACGAATGTTTCTGCTGCCATAACTGTGCCCGTCGGCCTCCCGGTAAAAATGAGCACGTTGATAAGCAGAACACAGCAGCACAGACTGAGACGCCGGAGATACGCGAGAGTAGAGATCCTAACCCTGCAGGCGAGGGATGTGATCACAGGCTGCAAACCCCGCAGGGCTGGTCCAGTCCCGCCGTCCAGCCGCCTTACATGAGCATGGAGAAACTCGCTCGGCTGCATTACCTGGACTGTGTTATCAAGGAGGTGCTTCGGTTTCTACCCCCGGTGTCAGGGGGGTACAGAACAGCGCTGCAGACCTTCGAATTAGACGTAAGTATGAGTTTATGCGTCGTTGCGCACTATATCGTAACAGTCATTTCAAAAAGCGTTTCGAAAATGAATGGATGGATTTATTTTTATGAGTCCTATTAATTAGTCATTTCTTCCTTAAGTTCATCAATTAGGAAATAGAAATGTATGTTTGTTTATTTTTACAATGTTGTTTAGGCCACAGAGTTCAAAGTACAGTATATAAATGACACTCCATAAAGTACTTTGTGTCCTCAGTCTCATTTTGGCATTAAGTTCCATCAATTAATGTTTGACACTGTTACTTTATTCAGAAACGAATTACGTAAAAGTTTGCAAATCAACGCAATTTAACTGGTAGCATGGTCACCCGGCACGTGCAGGGCCGTGGGTTCAAATTTAGCCTCAGCATGCATGCGTACTCTGACCTCTTGCATGGCTGTCCTATGAGCATCCCAGTTTCCCTCCACAATTAAGAGATTTGCTCTTCAGATCAGATGCTGTATTGCCCATAGTGTCGCTGTGTGTTAATGTGCACGTATGTAAACCTCCCGTGATCTACAGGTTC